AGTTTTTAAGAAGAGACTGGACAGCCATTTGTCTGAAATGGTGTAGGGTTCCTGCCTGAGCAGGGGGTTGGACTCGATGACCTCCAAGGTCCCTTCCAACTTTATTATTATTATTATTATTATTATTATTATTATTATTATTATTATTATTATTATTATTATTATTATTATTATTATTATTATTATTATTATTATTAATAATAATAATAATAATAATAATGTGTAAATGGCCTGTGTATCATGATTTTTTTTTTAAAAAATACAACTAAAGGTAAAAGTTTCACCTGTCCAGTTTAGTCTGTCTCTAGGGCAGGGGTAGGCAACCTTGGCTCTTTTATGACTCGTGGACTTCAACTCCCAGAATTCCTGAGCCAGCACAGCTGGCTCAGGAATTCTGGGAGTTGAAGTCCACGAGTCATAAAAGAGCCAAGGTTGCCTACCCCTGCTCTAGGGGGTGATGCTTATCTCCATTTCTTAGCTGGGGGAGCCAGCGTTGTCCGAAAACATTTCCGTGGTCATGTGGCTATCATGGCTATATGCTGAAGCACATGTTACACTGTTTGATTCCCACCAAGAGCCAAGGTTGCCTACCCCTGCTCTAGGGGGTGATGCTTATCTCCATTTCTTAGCTGGGGGAGCCAGCGTTGTCCGAAAACATTTCCGTGGTCATGTGGCTATCATGGCAGGAGCTGGGCAAATAAAAAGGAACTCATCCCAACATGCATCGCTCAGGTCTTGAACCCGGGTTGTCATCTGATAAGCTCAGCATCTTTAACCGCTGAGCCATCACACCCCCTTAAAAATACAAACACCAGGCCTAACCTTAAAAATACAGACACCAGGCCTAACCTTAAAAATACAAACACCAGGCCCAACATGTTTGGTTTGCAAATATAAACGTAACTATATTTATCCCTACCTACTTACCTACCTAAATGAGATCACAAAATGGTTTTCTTTATATAGTGGAGGAAGAGGCAGAAGAAGGAGCAGATGGAAGCGGAGGCATACCTAACATTTTTTAAGAGGGTTGAATTTTAATTCCAAATTCATCTTTCTTTATTTCATAAATCAATTCTTGTATGCCCAGTTTTCTTTCAATACTTACCTTTTCCTGCTGTGTCAGTGTCCCACCCTGCAAGTTCAGGTATTTGGATGCAGGAATGTTGTCTGCAAGAATAAATGGCTCCAATTTCTGCAAAGCCAAGAAAAGAGTAAGACAACACTCTGGAATTAGAGTGAGCTAACTTGAAGCCTGTGGCAGAGTCTATTTAAGTATGGCCCTGAAGAGCAAGCTTGCAGTCCACGAAATTTTCATACATTTTATATAACAGGGGTCAACCTAGTCTCCAAACACCTGAAGGCAGAACAAGAAGCAACGGATGGAAACTTATCAAGGAGAGAAGCAACCTAGAACTAAAGAGAAATTTCCTGACAGTTAGAACAATTAATCCGTGGAACAACCTGCCTCCAGAAGTTGTGAACGCGCCAACACCGGAGGTTTTAAAGAAGAGATTGGACAACCATTTGTCTGAAATGGTATAAGGTTTCCTGCTTGAGCAGAGGGTTGGACTAAAAGACCTCCAAGATCCCTTCTGACTCTGTTATTTTTTATTCTGTTCTTCTAATCTGGGGGCAGGCAAAGGTTGTGCTTTTTTCCTAATATATATGTAATGGCCTCAGAATTTGGAAGTTGGAAACTCTTTTTTGTACTTCCTGGAATGACCACACTATTTTGAACATGCCCAGTGAGGATGCAAGTGTACTGCTTCGTTGTTGTTTTAAAATTTACTTAGATGTGTTTATCTCAGGAGGTTTTATGCTGCTTTGATCAAACAAGGTAGAGAGGCGATGCCTTCAGAGTATCACCCAGGGTGTCCATGGGGTGGTGTCAAAAAAAGTAAACCATCATGTGATCAAAATTCTCCCCCTTTTTACCTGGCCTGATCTCATATTTCAGAAATGAAGTACCATCCTCAATATAAATTCTTCCCCAGAAAGTCTCATAAATCATAACTAGATAGATTTCATTCTCAAGGGCATTATTTTTAATCTTGCAAAGTTTTACAAGTTTTATAACAATTTGTGACATTTTAACAAAGTTTCACGAGCAGTTGGTGCCCACAGAGTAGGGATGGAGGCAGGGAGGTGGACTGTGGGCTGGTGATGTAGCATAGTGAGCTTCACCCCTTTTCTCGATGCATCAAGATGTCTCATGTTTGCTCAAGAGGGGTAGAGCTTGAAATGGTGTTTTGGCATTCCGATACAGGAATTTTCAATGTTTCTGCCATCAGACAAGGATTGGCCAAGTGTAACAAAGAATAGATGATTCATAGCTCTTCCCACGTAGTTTGGTACTCATTGCCAGTTAGCCTAGAATGGAATATAGGTAATCCTCGACTTACAACATTCATTTAGTGATCTTTCAAAGTTACAACAGCATTAAAAAAGGGACTTATGACTAGTCTTCCCACTTAACAACCATTATAGCATCCCGACGGTCATGTGATCAAAATTTGGGCACTTGGCACCTGGCAAGTATTTATGACAGTTGCGGTGTTGTGGGTTAATGTGATTGCCATTTCTAAACTTCCCAGCCAGCTTCCGACGAGCAAAGTCAATGGGGGAAGTGGGATTCACTTAACAACTATGTGATTCACTTAATTGCAGTGATTCGCTTAATGTCCATGACAAACAAGGTTGTAAAATTGGATGCGAATCACTGAACAACTGCCTTGCTTAGCAATCAAAGTTGTGGTACCAATTGTAGTCCTAAATCAAGGACTACCTACAGCTGGCCAGGCAGCCATTTCTCTTTGTAGGTATATTTCCCAACAACCTTTTGAAGGATTGCATGTTGAACCTCTATTTATTTACCCAAACTGCAAGATGTTCTACAGAAGAATAGCTGCATTCCTGTAGATAAAAATTTATCTTTCACATTCCCTTCTACACTGAACAGATTTAAAGAAACAACAAATAAAAAAAATCGAAAGAAAAGTTATCGCATATTTATAAACATTGACTCACAAATACATCACACATTACTCAGTGGAATTTTTCTTAGTGGATCAATTTCTTCTACCTTTTGCGTTTGTAAAGAATAGTTACTAATCAAGGTACAGTCACTAGGTGGCAGCCAGTAACACTACAAAGCTTAAAGGTTTCCTTAAATGTTGCAAATGCTGTTGACATGGAAAAGAGAGGAGGCTCAGAGGTAACAGTCATTCTAGCTGATAGACATCATTATGCACTCATGAAAAATTTAATATAGGAAAGTGTAAAAATAATTGTTCAATTTAAAATAAAAACTGCTAAATGATAAAGTTATGGAAGATTTCATGCAAGGAACATACAGCCTTTTGTCCAGCTGAATAGACCCTATATCACCTAGGTCAATGTTTCTCAACCTTGTCAACTTTAAGATATGTAACTTTCAACTCCCAGAATTCTCCAGCATTGCTGACTGGGGAATTTTGGGAATTATAGTCCACACATCTTAAAGTTGATAAGGTTGAGAAACACTGATCTAGATCCCATCCAAGTTTTCATTATATCTGACAGAGAAAGACACACACACACACATACACAAATAGGGCATTCATAAACTTGCTTAATATTTTGGGCAACAATCACAATATTTCAGAATTTAAATAATCCAGAATCATTCTTGAGTGCTCCAAATATTTTATGATTTTGGGAAGAAAGTATGGAACTGGGCTATTTCTCATTTCATCCTGTAGCATAAGATGACCAGGTCTTCTGCTTGACCCAGGCTAGTTTAAATATTGTTAAAGGTCCAAGCCCATTTTATAGTTTACCTACTTAAAAGAATTGTTGGTTCATTCACTTAGGCTTTGTTTTTCCCTCTTTTGTAAACAATGTGAGACCTATCTGGAAAGAAGAAATGGAGCCCTATAGACAAGTGAAATGAATAAAATACGAGGTCAGTGAATCCACTGGGTGAAGACTTGGCAATAAAAATTACAGACTTCGATAGACTATACGCACTCTTAAGAATGTAACGCAGATCTCATTAGAGAAGGCTCCTTCAGCTTCCATTGAAATAATATCTTTCATTGGTGCATTTGAAGGTACTGTATGTTTCCTCTCCTTTTTGCCCAATTGGCTAGTTTCCATTCAAAACTTTAGCATTTTTCCCGAAATTTGGAATGGAAGGTTCCTCATGAAACACCTCTTGCAGGCTTTTTAATTTTACTCATTGCTGAAGCATTCAAATCCTGCAAAACTAGGCCACACGAATCAACAAGCTAGCAAGATGCATCCAGCATAAAGTATTTTCAACAAGAAGAGGGTGCTGGAGGGGATTGATGGAGAGTGGAGAAGGAGGCAGACCTTCAAAGAGATTTTAGGAAATTGAAGAACACTAACAAGAATTCCTTGGGGAATGGATTTTTCTCACTGGAATTTGCTGATGTGACTTGAAGAGACAAGATGTCAGCAATTTAAATTCAGCCTCAGTGTGTAAGAGAAGGAACTAGGGATCAAGAGGCATCTTACCTGAAGCCTTCGAGGTGGATGTTGCTTGATGATGCTTCTTTCTCCTCCTCCTCCTCCTCCTCCTCCTCCTTGCGTGTGGTCTAACAGATTTGGCCTGGGCACTTGAAAGAAAGGAAGCATTCTAAAAATCTGAGCTGATTCTGCAAAATTGGTGATTTACAATTTGTTTGTCATGGAAGACTGATTATTTGATATTTTTAAAATAAAGAATGGGGAACCCAATTCATATTTTTACCGCTTTTAGATTTCATTGATAGAAACAAGGAATGGTTGATACATATAACCAGCATTTCTCAACCTTGTCAACTTTAAGATGTGTGGACTTCAGTTCCCAGAATTCCCCAGAGAGCAGTGATGAGGAATTCTGGGAGTTGAAGTCCACACATCTTAAAGTTGACAAGGTTGAGAAACACTGCATATAATATATCCCTTTTTATCAGTCCAAAGCTGATAAGGGCCCTTTTTGTGTGTATGCAAAGCAGAGGTTCATGACAGACACTGTCCAGAAAACACAAAATTGACACTTCAGCAGGATTAGTGTGAGAAAAGGGCTGCAAAAGAATTACAAACTGCCTTTTACAGGAAATCACTTTTCCATTATAAACAACAAAATCTATTTTTTAACTTTTTCATCAAACCCAGATGTTTATGCAAGAGCTTGTGGCATAAAACAATACAGGATCTGTTGCTAGATGACCTGAATGCATTTGTATTCTCCGTAGTCTTTCAACTTGTGAGAAGTGATTCCACTTAAAGTAGAAGTACATTTCCTTTCATCTTTAAAAGAGAATAATCTACTGCTAGATTATCCAGAAGAGGAGGAGGAAATATCCAGACAGAATCACATTATTATTATCTTTGGGGAAACAGATGATCTTTTCATGGTATACAGTAAGTATGAAATGTGAAATAAAGACAAAAAACAAAAACAACAGCATGACAAAGTACCAACAATAGTGCATCGGCATATCTATGAGAAATATCACTTATCTGCATGCCAGAACTGGTGGAACATAGAAAAGACAAGGTAATAGAAATTTAAAAAACTAATGTGCTCTTAGACTTTAAAATTCATACACATCCCAGAATTAACAACTGTCGATAAGAAAAAAGAAAGAAAAAGTCTTGGTAGTGGACATGGCAGTACCTGGAGACAGCGGAAGAGAAAAGAAAGAACTGGAGAAGATAACAAAATACAAAGACCTGCAAATAGAAGTAGAATGACTGTGGCAAAAGACAGGAAATGTAGTACAAATAGTAATCGGCGCCTTGTGTACAATGCCAAAACATCTGGAGCATCACTTGGAACACCATCAGCATTGACAAAAATTACCATCAGTCAATTGCCAAATGCAGATTTACTTGGAATAGTTGACAACTTGCAATGATGGTTTCAAAATTAATAAATTATTATTAAAATTATTAATAATAAACATTCAAGAAATATAAGGCAACTGGTGGCTCTGTCAGATTCCTTGAATGCTATCTAACGTAGAAAGGCAAGTTAGAAATCACATCAGATTAATCAATCTGTTGCTCC